GTCGATTAATTTGCTTTATAAAACTTTCATTTTGTCGTCATTGTGCTTTCTGGTTTTTGTTAGCCATGATAAAATCTAAGGAAATCAAGAACGAACAACACGATTTGGGATAGGAACCGTCGTTGTCGTATCCTTAGAAAATGGTGGTAAACACGGACTCCTGCCAAACTGGTTTGGATTGAGATTTTTATCGGGTATCAGGGAACCATGTGATTATAAATTAGACTTGAGCAAAACGGGCCAAAACTTGAAATTTAGCCTGTTTGACCGACCCATGCCAAATTCTAATTATTCTTTACTTTAAACTTTCTATTTGAAAATAAGAAATAGTGAAAGAAAAGAGATGACTGCAATTCGCCATTTGCACATCACTTATTCAGGAATAAAACCATAAAAATTCAAAGGAACTGAAAATGTTTATGATCGTTTAATGTTTAAAATAACCAAATAGATCGTTCTGTTAGTTTTTTACTAACAAATACCAAACGATTCCCTATAAAATACACTATAATTTGATCATTATGATATCAAATAATTATATAATATATATTTGAAATTATAAAAATTGGACTAATTGGGTTGGTCGAGGTTGAACAATTGAATAACTTTAAAATACATTATATTTAGCCACTAAGATATAAAATAATAGCATAATATATATTATGACAGAGAAAATAGCTTGTTTTAGAATGACAAACCAATGATGTTCATTTGTTTTACTTGATGGTCAAATCCCGTGTAGGTCAGACCCATTGAACTCTTTTATTTTATGGTTACCGGTTAGCCCATTAGATACCATGCATTAGTTTATTGTTAAATTTTTTTATTTTTAGCAATAAAAACGAGTTTTGTTTTTGCCTTTTCATATATATTTTATCACCACGGAGAAATAAAAGGGCTTAAAGAAAAAAAAGTGACACTCTTGTACCCGTTTAAATTCGCATGTGTACGGTAAGTTGGCCCGTTCCACAGAGGAAAAAGAAAAAAATGGACACTCCCTATTCTACCCTTCCTACAAACCCTCCTGGAGCAGAGAATTTGAAATGGGAGAAGGGTTTTTTCCTCGCTGCTATTATATGTTTTTAATTTAAAAATATACAACAAAAGTACTTAGTGTGATTGGTTATGATCTTTGCTTTCCTTTAAAATGGTAATGGTTCGTATCCCAGTATGTGTCTTTTTAATGAATAAAAAAAAGTAATGTGAAGACCAAAATGTCCTTCCTACTTTCACTCTCGTTGCAGGAAATTTGAAATGGGGCTCCCGTTTTTCCCTTCGGTGTATTATATTATGTGTAGATCATTTGAGTTGCTTCTTCTTTAGTTTTGTTCTCAGTTTGCCATGCCAGCAACCTCTTCGAACCGTGACTTGATATATACTGTCAAACTTCAAACCAAACACCTCCTAATGCTTCTAAAGCTTAGGTTACACAATCTGAATGGAACTAGTATCTCGAAACCTCAGGAAATCGTTCCAGACAGCACCAGTATTATCGTCCATCCAAACTTGACTATCAAATTTTGCAGCGATCTTCTCTGGCATTGTAGTTGTTCTCACCTCTGCTAATGACGGGAAAATCTTTAGCTTTTGGTTATAGAACACATCTGCGGCCTCGAAAACTAGCATGTTATTGTCAAAATGCCACTATCCTCCATAGATTATCCATCCCCAAAAGCAGAAACACAAGCATGTTACCAGGGTCTGTAACTTCATAAACTACATAAGAAAGAAAACGTTTGCATCAAGAAAGCTATCTACACGATGCAAAAACCCCATCAGGAAGAAGATTACACATTACACACGGAAGTAAAAACTCGTACACACATCTACATCTCTGTAGTTACTTGACTAGAAGGCTTCCTCCTCTGTTTCCGACCAAACCTTCTATGGAACAACATCCTCATTTAGGCTGGCAGCAGCAACCATGGAAGCAGCTACTCCAGCCGGATTCGTCGACAGCGTCGGGTTGTTCCTCATCTCCGCACTCGTCACTCCTTCCGCATCCTCTCTCGTCACCACTTTATCCGCCGGCAACTTCCCTGCTGCATCTGAAAATTCCCCAATTTCCCTGAATTAGTTCCAACAAGTCCCCATCTTTCTATACCCTATAAAAAAAAACCAATTACCACTTAAATCAGAACCCCTAATTATACCCAGAGCACATCATTGAGCTTGATCTTCTCCTCGTCCCTGTCCGTCGCAGCATTGTGCGTCGCCGCCGACTGCGCCGTCGCAGCAAGCCCGCCGGGAACCGTAACGCTGCTCCCTGTCGCTCTCGTCTCCGCCGCCTGAATCGCGGCGGCATCGCTCTGATCCACCGGCCTATCTCCAGAAGTCCTCCCGGTCGCCTCCAGCGCTTCCCCAATTGTAATCGCATTCTGCGCCGCCACAACTCCACCGCCGCCGTGGACGGGAGCTGGCTGGACGAATTGCCCCAAAACCTGACCGCCGACGCTCTCGGTGATTATCCGGGCGCCCGGGATGTCGGTCTCCGACACCATCACGCCTTCGCTGCTCACGGCATCGGTGGCCTGGCGGTGAGCAACGAGGCCGGCCCTCTCGTTGAACGTCGCGGCGGATTGCATCGCGGCGGCCGGACCGCCCTTCTGGGTCTGTCCGAAGACCATGGTCTCGGCGCTCTGCATCATGTTGGCGTCTTCAGGGGCGATTGGCTTGGACGCGAGGTCCCCGAGACGTCGAAAACGTCGCCGTATCTGATTGGATCGAGTTCCTCCTGCCCTGCCGCTGCACCAAATTGCTGCTGGTCCGGCCTTCTTGGCTGTCCCTGACTCATCGTATTACGAAAGGCTGTAGCTATTCTCCGTGAAGAGAAAACTCTGCTAACAGGACAGACTGTTGAGGTTTGGGAATTTGAGATCGATGGATTGGATTGGATTCTAGTGTACGGACATTGGAACTGAGCTATATACAAGGAAGGTAGCGGTGACGTGTCGAGAGAAGGAGCGAGGTGGTGTGCCTTGTCATGGTACACGTGGCGAGGTTTGGGAGATGCATGATGCTGCTGATATTTTCTGAAACTGGCTCTGGGAATTGTCGGGTGGCATCAATAGTTCCCACGTGGCAAGTAGGGGTTTCTGGCTTAGCTATGACCTATGAGATGTTGGCCAGCAACGTAAATGAGCTCCCTCAGTTACGTAGGGACAGTTGGAAGTCAAAGGGCGGTGGCTTTTAATGGTAATAAAAGAAGTCTCATTTGACGAATGAGATTATGAGAAAGAGAGAGCCTTCTGCTTAATTGGCAACTCAGTCTTGATTAATTGGTATTTAGTAAATAAACATCATGATTTAATTAGACTTCTAATAATATTGTTAATCTAGTCTATTCATTGGTCAACGGCTACATACAAAGTGAAAATAAAGGCTGATCCTTGTAGCATGAAATTCTAAAACCCAATTGTTTGATTTGGAATGCCTTTTTAATGAAATTTTGATTTAGCCATAAAAAAGTTCTAAAAAGTTGGTCTAAGAGTTCTATAGACCAAGGTTGTCAACCCGCGGGTCGACCCAGTTTGACCCTGACCGATGAGAAAAACGGGCCGCACACACTGCCGGGTCGACCGCTATAAGGTATCAGGTTGGAGGTCAAATGTGTCATTTTTTCCTTTGATTTTCGAAATGCGCCTATTTTCCGAATTTTCTTTTCACCCAACTCAATCTTTGGAATCCTAAGTTGAACATTTGAACATTTATGTTATATAAGTGTGTGAATTTTCATTATATGTTGGATCTAAGTACGATATATTATTTGGTGTAATATTATATGTTATAACTCATATGTTAGATAAGATTTGATATAATTTATGAGGATAAGTACAATATAATGACTTTTTCCATATTTCCGGGCCAAACCGGCTAAAACGATTGACCCATTAACCCTTGACCCACTAGCTCGACCGGGTCTGGGTTAACCCCCGGGTTGACAACCTTGCTATAGACTCGAGTATATTAATTAATTAATATATAAAAGTCTAGGTTGTGAGTTACTATTCATTAGTGACTCTCACACTCCTTCAAGTGCAAGTGAAGAAGTTTCAATTTCTCTTACCACATTTCTCCATTCTACAACCATTAGGTTTAGCTATTGTTCGCTAGGTTTATATCTATTGTTGATTGTGTTTTCATAACAATAATTGCCTACTAGGTTTCCAACTCCCTATTACAGCAACTAACCACTAGGTTTAAGTCTATTGCTTTTTTTTTTACAAATCATCGTCTTTGTCTATCATTTCGCTTTGCGAGAACAGTAACAAAATTGGTCTAAGATTCCTCCATTACCTCTTCGATGATGGTTTTCTGAAAGTCCTTTCTTTGTCTATCATTCGCTTTGCAAAAACTATTTACTTGTATTATAAGCATTTTTTAAAAATTTCCAAAAACATCCAATAAATTCATCTAATGACGATTACAAGGATAATATTCGAGTAAAAATGAATGGATTAGTTTAGTTATGATTTGTATCATTATATTAGTCATATGGTAGATTGTGAACAAATTTTGAAATTTAACGATTACTCCACTTCTAGACCAGAGGGCACATGTTGCACTATTATTGTGATACATGATAAAATACATATTTAGTTTACCGTTGTTTTTGTACATGTTGAAAATAACAACTCGTCCTTTTTGATTGACACAATGTCAAATCTTCCCATCGATGCAACCGTAAATCACGAGTCTCATACTAAGCAATTAGAACAACAAGACTTGGTAAACGCTATTTCCCTAATACATACATCTACCATACCTTTCTCTTTGTTGAAGTTTTTCCCTTTGATCCCAACTTTACGCCAACTCTTTCTCTCCAACACCATTTCAATGCCTTGCTTGCTATAAAGCCATCCAATTCCAAATCTCCAATGGATTCTCTTTCTTTCTGTACTTACTTGGTCGATTTTCCGAGAAACTAACGCTCGTATTTTCTCTCTCGTTCTCTCCCTCTTTGAAGATCGACTCGCGAGTGATCTCCTTAGAGGGAGGGAAAATACATGTGAGGAGCTAGACATAGAAAATGGAACCCCCAATTAGAAACTACCATACCCTAACTTTTCCAACATTCGAGAAGCCGCCATTGGATTCCGGTGGCAGCCGTCATCTTCGAGAAGGCGTAGGGTTGATTCTTTCTCGATGGAGGGCACTGCAATTGGCTGTTCAGAACCAATGGGGAGGCCATGATTCCCTTCAGAAGTCCCACCAACTAGCAAATGACGTCTTGTGTTGGTTTTTACATTGCAAGGGTCAGCCTAGCTACAACATTTTATTGTATTCTGCAATCTTACTTATAACCATCCTCGATGCAACGATTTGACTCGACATTTTCCCCCCCCTCACAGGCCGGCTTCACGTGGAGGATCTCGAGAATTTGTTGCATGAGAATCTCCTGCTGAATTTCAACACCGAGATCGAAGACGGCAGCATTGAGGAAGTGGCAGAACAGCTGATGGTGATGTACGAAGAACACTTGCACAAGAACCATTATCACAAACCCTAATTTAAGGTTTCGATAATACGAGTTTCAGCTGCTAGATCAGACGATGCCATGCGTGCTGGCCTGATGATATCTTACGTTGTAGCAGGACGATTTTTTTATTATAAAAGATCTCAATTTTTGTAATACATGATGTCGCTTCGTGATGAATCTGGGCCGATCGAGTGATGTTTAGATGAAATACGGCCGGAATGCCGGATGTATGTATACTTCTAAGGTGATGTGATTCATCTCTCATTGAACAAAATCATATCCGTTTAAATGATGATCATGGTATCCAATCCATTATAACAAAACGTCAGACATTGGATTTCTTCGGATGACGATGATTTACAGTTTATGGGGACTCAATCATTGTTTGGTGAGAGCACTGATATTAGCTACGAAGATCATTAATTGATGGAGGTTTCCTAACAGCCTGTTTGGAATGATTAAATTTATGGGAAATGGAATTCTATTTCCTTCTTTTGAATCAATTCTTCCGTTTGGATAGTATATTGTGTTGGAAATGGAAATCATTTCTACCAAAACTCAGGAAGTTGAAATCCGGCCGAAATGGTCAGACTTGTCCACAGAAGCAATGGAATTGATGGGACCCACTACTTTAATGATATTAAATCCCAAAAAGCCTGCATGCAATTGGATCTCTTTTCTCCTCAAGCCAATCTTGGTATCATTTTCATAAGAATTGGGCCCACTACTCATAACTTTACTTGAAAAATAAAATTCGCACAAAAAAATATAATTCATTTCCTGAATTGATGGAATTATACCAAACACAAGAATTGAAATTGGAATTCTAAAAATACTAGAATGGAAATGAAATATATTTCCAATTCCATTGGAATTCTATCCAAACAGGCCGAGTTACTACTAGAAATAGGAGGAAATTTACCGTATGTCACCTAATTAATCTAAGGCTCCTTTAGAACAGTTTTGTTACCGTGTGGTTCGCAGACTTGCATTACCATTGTGACAATAGAAGTACAATCACAACATCATGAACATGAAAAAAAATAAAAATATTAACACGTCTATTGATAATTTTGTGAAATTATGATAGTTAGAACTTTTTCTGTGCTTAGTTAATTAATAGGCCCCGCTTAGTACCATTGTTGAGAGTAAAACAAAAAAACAAAAATAATTCGAGGATAAGAATGGTATGGTCTGGTCTCGACCAATATAATCCGTACAGTTTTTCAGCCCTAGAGATACATTTTCGTTCCAATTTAGACCCTGAAGATACAGCGCATTAGTTGACGCGTAATTTTTGGGAAAACCATTTTGTGTGTGTGTACCAGTTAGTCAACTGAGAAAATGACTGAGATTAGGGTTTCCTAAACTGTGCGTTGAGAAAACAGATGCAAGCTCCCCAATGATGATTTGACAAGGTTATGTTCTCCCCTTGAGATGTTGATTGCCAAATGCCAGGGACTAAGGGAGTACTGTAATATCCTTATCCGCCATTGTGCTAATTGATTCCAAACTTTATGGTTGTTTATGAGAACCCTCCCTATATCATAACAGATAATAAGCTTCTGATTCCATTTCCATCTCTGTTAAGAAAAATAACTCAATGCCCAATTGCCACCACCCGGATTTCAGTAAATGCTTTCACAACCACCTTTGATTCCTTCCATCATGCATTACCCCAAATGAGTAGTGACAATCCAACAACACTCAGTCCAACCTAAAACACAGGCCAGGTCTAAAGTTTGTTCATTTTCTATCAATGGCAAAACCTCTACCAAACTCAATACTTTTTTTGGAAATCCCTCCATTTTCAGGCTGCAACCCAACCATCAGCAATGCTTTTCAAGAGAAAACCCAATTTCCACGCAACCCCAACTCTTCATAATTGCTACCACCAACCTTGCCTGTGGAGTCTACCAATACTGAAAGTTGCCAATCGAATGTCCTCCCGGGCAACTGGAGCAATAAGGGAGGCATTCATCGATGGCAAAACCAACCCCGGAAGTAATAGTCGGCTACAAAGTCAAAGCAAGGGACAGCTTCAGATAGGAAAAGATGAACAAAAAAACTGAACTGCAATACCACCCATGCCCAAGTCGTCAGAAGTGAACCATCCGTCGTCGTCTCGAAGGAGCAAAATCCTATTCTTCTCCTGCGTTGTAATGTTGTGAGATGAAAGAAGCGAGTATTGGAATCTCCTTCTGTTAAATAATGAACCGAGATTTTGTGCCAATACAATTCCTGCAAAAATGCTTCAGATAATTGTTGCTAAAAAAACAGAGATAAAGCCCAATCAAAATTAGGTTTATTTCGTTCCACTTGAATAGCATCTTGGAGTTCACGGATTGCCCGAGCCGAGTTCGAAGTTCCTTTTAAGGACCAGTTAAAAAGGCTATGCGTAGCTGATTTCAAAGTGGAATGTAATTTGAACTGCGAGTACCACCATACTACGAACTCCATCGAGATACCAAAATCTCCTCTGCCTCAGAATTGGAAAGCCAACGACAATCAAAATGAAAATTAGCCTTCGTTTGGCAGCAGAGGCATGAAACAACAACAAAATCATCCTATGATCAGAACCAAGGTCAGAAAGATGAAGAACCTGCAAACGAGGCCAAAGCGTAGATGCCAAGGGAGAAGCAAAGCCACGATCCAAACGCTCCATAATATGTTCAGAAGGCGATCGACGATTAGACCACGTGAAAGGTGGTCCTTGAAATCCAAGATGCTGTAAAGAAAGATTAGTCGCGAAAGATTGCAGCGGGGCCAAAGCCGCCGGCGTAGGAAATGACACCTTGCTTTTCCGAAGAAACACATGAGACAATTGAAATCACCTATTACTAAGAAAGGAATAACAAGCGACGAGGAGAGCAACCTTTATTTCATTCAATTGCACCAAACGAGTGCTCTCATTAGAATCCAGGTGAACAAACACCAACACAAATTGACCATAAAACAGAATGAAAACATTCTACGAACATAGAAGCTTGAGACTTTGAGGTAACGTGCAAGAGACCTTCGAAGACCAAGCAACTACGAAACCCCCAGCAGTATTTACAGGACTAACGAGGTCATTATTCGGGAAACCAAGACGACAAAGACGCGAAACAACTTTTTATCACGACACTTCGTTTCACAAAGACACACAATTATCGGAGAACGACAATTGATAGTGGCAAGCAGCGCCTTACGAGCCAGGGCCTTGCCGAAACCCCGACAATTCCAAAAGAGAATAGTCATGACACCAATTGGGACCGGATTGGGCCGGTGTCCTCCACCCATGAGCATTTGCAGCCAAAGCAGAAGGTTCAGCAGATTCCACACACTGAAACTTGGAATTGGAAGGAAGCATTTCCTCCTATGGTTGTTTATGAGAACCCTTCCTATATCAGATCAGATAATAAGCAATCTGATTCCTTTCCCTGTAAGTAAAATCATTCAATGCCACACCCAGATTCAGTAAATGCTTTCACAACCACCTTTCTTCACTCTCTCACAAAATTATTCCTTCCATCATGCATTACCTCAAAAGTCAAAATGAGTGACAGTCAAAACTCAAAACACCTGGCCAGGTCTAAAGTTGTTCCATTTCCTATCAATGGCAAAACCTCCAAACCTCATCCTTTTCTGGGAATCCTTCCATTTCAGGAGGCACCCGCTATCAACAATCCTTTTCAAGAGAAAACCCAATTCCACACGCAAACCCACTCTTCATAATGCTACACCAACCTCTCGTCTTCACCACAGAAGTTCACCCCTCATAGATTAAATCCTCCAAAACCTTAGAACTTCACTTCCTCAGGTCATAATTTCCTCCCCGCAAAGAAATGGCTTTGGGTTCTTCAGCAACCAATTTAGCCGCTGCAATGGCACTATCCTTCTTCATCTTGCTCGCCGCTGCTCGCACATCCTCCCTGTTCCACCCTCGTCCTCTGCTCCACCGCCGCTCCCTGACGACGATGATGTAATCACACTAAAGGATAAGAAAACGGCCTATCTAATGCCGACATTGGTCTTGTTCGTGTTCATTTGTCTCACCTGGCTTGTCTTTGTATACGGGCGGCGGCTCCAACGGAAACTGTTCTCAAGGTTCAGGTACTGGTGCTGCTCTGTTTTCCGGCGCAAGAACTCTGCCTTTTTACATTCTGATGATTTCTGGCCTATAATACATTTTTTCAGGTTGTGTTGTCTGCTAGAGCTGGTGACACAGGCCGTGTGCTCCGCGACATATTTGCAAACACTAACAGACCAGAGTCTATAACATCATCGAAGTTGAAAGGTTGAGATGTTTGATTTCCGCTTAATAAATCCTCTGTTTCCAGCCCAAACAATTTGGCGGCTACTAATAGTCGCAATTCTCTTTGCAGAGACCATAAATGCACTGTTGGAGCACCAAAGCAGCTTCATCTATGGCTCTTCTACATCCGTGTGAAAGTAAAAAAATCAGAAACTGATATGGATCATACGAGGATTCCTTTTGTGTTTTTTGTTTGGTCTTACCAGCTGAACATAAACTGTTTGGCAGGGGAAAGCCCTCGGATGGTTTTGGCCTCTGAAGGGAATGGCGAGGGAAGAAGAGAGAAAGCTGAGAATTGAACGAGAGTATGTCTATAATTATCAGTTGGTTCCCAAGTTAGCGCCCAAACAGGACAAAGATTACACTGTGGTGAGTTCTTCTTCTTCTTACAGGTCTTGAAAGGGTTTTCCTTGTTCCTAAACTGGTTGTGACGCCATACACAGGTGGTGATTATGGTGCATGCTGCGGGTGATCATAAGCCCAGCGGTCAGTAGTAGCGTGGATGTGAAAGAAGCTCTCAACTATCTGGAAACCAAGTTGTTCTCCAGAGTTCTGGTGATTAGTCTCAACTGTGAACTTGTGTTTGAGTGTGCGATTACGTTTGATTTGTCACTAAATTATGTTTGCTGTTCTTCTGGTTTTTGTTTGGTTATGCAGGGCGTGGAGGTAATGTGGGCTTACCAGGATCCTTTGCGAATTGTGGAATGCTTGATAGCTATCCAGATCTGAATTCATCCTTGCTTGAATTGTGATGATGCAAATTAATTAATTAATTAATTACTACCGCTCTCTGA